GGGTCGCGGGGTGGGTCGCGGATGGCACGATGATCGTTTCAGATCGCTGGGAGGCAACTCCTGGGAGAGCATTTTTTACTCGCGGCTGGAACTAGCCTTGTGGAGAGGGGGGGGGGGGCGGGAGCATAACGCCCTCCCCATCCCCCAGCCCCCACCGTGGGGGTCCATCCTTGCGGGACGCACTGCTGCATTGCCGGGGACGCACTGGATGGCGGGGGCATGACGCGCGCTGTGGCCCAAAGGGTAAACAGAAACACTCACAGCGCTGGGAGGCAGCTCCCGGAATGCGTGGCGACGTCCGAACCCTACCCCCAGCAACCGTCGATTCTCTCCAGTGGATGGGAGGCGGGGCTCGGGGTCGGAGTTCGCCACGTGTTCGACGAAGTCTGAATCCTACCCCCACCGCCCATCGGGTCGCCCGAATCGTTGATCGGCGGGAGCAGGGCTCGGCTTCGCTGCCGATGGGAGGTCCTCGTATGAACGAGCAAATGCGACGATGGAGAAGCCATTGAGCCAGATGGGGCCGGACGAAGCAGCCGACTTCAGCGGGATTGAGCCAGACGGAACGGGATTCAGCCAACTTACTGGCAGGCCCGTTTTCGACCAGGGATGCACCAGCGCCGGTTCTGGACTTAACCTCCCAGGAGTTCCACCTTAGGAACGTGTCACAGGCAAACTCGCGTCACGACAAAATCACAAGTGAAGGTGTTTGCCGATCTGCGGCCTCTGGGGGGCCTCACCGAGCCCCGGGCCGTCAGATCACGATCCAGGACGAAAGGTCCCCCGCATTGACAACAAATCCGCCGACCCCTTGTGGGTCTCTAGGCGTGTGAGATAGTTCCCCCCCCTATAGTCCCCCCCCCGGGACCCCAAACCGGCGATTTGACCCCCCCCCCCCGGGCCCGGGACGAGCGCCGCCGGGGCCCGGGACGAGCGCCGCCGGGGCTTTTCCGGGCCCCAGGAAGCCTCAAGACGGGCCAAGATGGCCCCAAGAGGCCTTCAAGACGGCCCACGGGAGCCCCGAGACGCCAAACGAGCGCTCCAAGACGCCCAAGATGGCTCAAAGACGGGCTAAGAGGCCTCCAAGACGGCCCAAGAGGTCCCCAAGAGGCCCCAAGAGGCCTCCAAGATGCGTCCCACGAGGGTCCCTAGACGCAAAAATTGGCCCCTTCCCTTCGTAAAACGTACATTTTTCACGAATTCGCTTTTTGGGCTTTCCGACGCTCCCAGACGGCCCAAGAGGCCCTAAATACCGCCCCAAGACGGTCCAAGCAGCCTCCAGGGAAGCTCCAAGGCAGCCCAAGAGAGCCCCAAGACAGCCCAAGAGGCGCCCAAGATTGCCCAAGAGGGCCCCGAATCTGTGGAGGATTTTGGTATTCTCGCCTTTTCGGCCTTCCGCCGCTCCATGACGTCCCTAGAAGCCTCCAAGACCACTCCAAGACGGCCCAAGAAGCCTCCAAGAGGGCCCCAAGACGGCCCCACAGGGCGCCCAAGACGGCCCAAGAGGCGCCCAAGACGGCCCACGAGGGCCCCCAGACAGCCTCAAGAGGGGCCCAAGAAGGGGAACGCGAACCGAAAATCCGAGCCTCTGGCCCCAAGAAGCCCCGAGGAGGCCCCCAAGAGGCCCCCCAAGAGGCCTCAAGAGGCCCCCCCCCCAGATGCCTAAACGAGGCCCCAAAACGATCCCCAGAGGCCTCAAAACTGCCTCTAGGAGGCTCCCGAGAGGCTTCCCACGAGACCCCAACGAACATCCACGAGGCCTATGACCCACAACCCAAGCACGGCGGCGGGATGGGCCGAAGGCCATTACGTAGATATAGGGGTCGGCGGATGTGGCGCAAGCCTGTAGAATCAAAACGTCGGAGATCTAAGGTGCTGGCGCACGTGTATCCTTGTCCACCGCAGCCATTCATTGGGACGCAGGCAGCGGAATTGAGCATCGTTGAGCAGATCTCCATCCCATCCCTACTTGCATGGCCCCGGCCCCACTGGCCTGCGTACCCCACTAGATGGGGATATTTGATGTTCCTATCCCCACCCTGGGGGGTGGGCTGGTGGGGTCGAGAGGCCGTGGCCCAGGGGGATTGGGATCGATCGGTCGACGCTGAGCAATGAGGTTGGGCCGAACGGATTTACCACAAACACACACCATACACACACCACACACAAACACACACAGTCACAAACACACACACACACACACACAAACACACACACACACACACAAACACATCCTGGGCTGACCCACGTCCTGGGGATCATCGAGATGAGCTGCCAGAAGGTGAGGAAGCGGCCTGGGCGCCCCTTGACGACGGGCCGGGGATTGCCAGAGGGGTGCCCCCGGCGCCAAGGCGTCCCCAGCGTCTTCGCATCGTGCACCCCCTGGAGGAGGCCCCGGGGCCTCGCGGGGGCTCCCACGGGACGCCTCGGGCCAGGGGAACCTCCTGGCAGCACCCGAGGTGGGGCTGGTGTCCGTGCCGAAGATGGCGTCCCGGTTCAGGAGCGTGAACACGACGGCGGTGGTTGCCAGGGTGCAGAGGGCCCGCAGGAGGAAGCGCCTGGGAGTCAGCGGCCCCTGCTCCACGTCCGCAGCGCTCCTGGCAGCGAGCGCGCCCAGGACGAGCACGCCGCCCATGTGCCATGCGCTCGCCCAGGCGGCCGCGTCCAGACATGCCTGAGCCGACGAGGCTGCAGAACAAAGGTCGGCTGAACACGCGCACGTACGCGCACGCACGCACGCAAGCACGCCCGCGAGGATCCGCTCGAGCACGTGGGCATGCGCACGCGTGCAAGTGCGC